TAACAATATTGCTTCTATTTTGGATTTGGGTGCGGTTTGTATAGAGCCAAGGCGATAAACAATCAAAGTAAAACCTACCTTCAAATATTGTAAAAAAATGTGGTTTTAATATTAGAAATCTTTTTTAATATTAGAAATCTTTGTGATAGCTTTAAAATATATTTTTATCTTTAATTATAAAATTTAAAGCTTAAAAAATGGTGTAGATCGAGCAGATATATGAAAACTTGAAAATCTTGAAAATTGATGGTCCAAAAATGCATTAGAAGATTCACTATTTTCAAACCTTAAAACCCAAATTTTTCTCATGTCTATGCATCTTGATGTCGAGATGATAAATTTGAGGATATTTGGGCATCAAAACAACATATTTTAGTAAAATTTTTGAGGTGGGCTCTAATTTGATTGTTTAGAGCCTCTACTCCATATAAACTTTTTATTTTAGATTTTGAGAAGATTGATACCGTTATTCCCAATCAGTGAGGCTTACAAGGAACCCTTAGAATACTTTGGGATTTGAAAACCCAAGTATTTAAGTTAAAAAGTAGTTTACCAATTAAAATTCCCAAAGTTTTCTCTGTCAAACTTAAAAAAATTTGAAGTATTTACCCAATTAAAGTACTTCATATTTTTTGACTTCTAACTTCGAATTTTCAAATTTGAAAGTATTATTAGGCTTCTTTACATGAAAAAAAAAAAAAAGATTTCAAGTTTTGGAAATAGTGCATCTTGTAATGCATTTTTTGATCGTTGATTTTCAAGATTTTATAGATATGCTCGATCTACAGGATATTTGGAGCTTTAAATTTATATTTTAAGGCCATCATAAAGATTTTCAATATTAAAACTATGCTTCTCAATACTATTTGAATGTGCCCTTGATTGTTTAAAAGCCTCGAAACTATACAAACCGCATCCTAATTTAAAAGGATTGTCTACAAAAAAGACTATGTATTACTTGTATATGGAAGTCACAAGCATTTTAGTCTCTGAAATTTAAAATGAATGGTTGCAAGAGTGTTATTGAATAGATATGAAGTTTCAATAACACTCTTGCAACAACCCATTTTCATTTTTAAATTTAAGAGACAAAAATGATGCGTTACATTCATGTACAAAAGCGCTAAGTGGCCTCTTTGTGTAATTGTTTTAAAGGAAAATAGCGAAAGGCATATCGGTGATAGCTCTAATACTGACCCCAATTTATTGTTTGGACCTCGACATGCATTATATCTCTTGCTTTGAGTGACATAAGTAAGTGATAATAGGAGCCTCATAAATCACTCCCCATTTTCAGTGGAAAAACAATTAATTACTTAATGGGTGTGGTTTTTACAAGGTTGCAACCTTAAACAATAATTTATATGATGTTTTGCAACATCAAAATCTTGATCTTTTTCATATTCATATACGTATAAGCTTTTTCCATACTTAATACTGTCTCTGGCTGGATACGTTAGAGATTGAGATATGGGTTGTGTGTGCTATCTTGTGGTGCCATGTTGCGACCTTCCTCTCACTACTTGCCCCTTCTTTTCTAAGCCTTCACCCCCATCTCCTCTTCTGCAACTCCCAACCAAATTCTCCATTTCTTTTTCTACCTCTTCTCCTTTTGTTGCTTCAGCAGCTTCTGGTTCTTCTTCCTCATTAGATGACAAACCAAAGCTCCGCAAACCGCCTTCTCCTCCCCATTCTATTACATTGAGAAGCATATATGAGAGCTGTTGCACCTGGCAATGGAGGGGATGTTACACCATCAATTTCTCAAAGATTGGCAATGGGAATGGAGCTCCTCTCCTTCTTGTTCACGGTTTTGGGGCCTCTGTTGGCCACTGGCGCAGGTGCCTCACACTTCTCTTTCATCCTAAGAAGTGCATTCGCATTCAATTTCACCAAGATGCATCTATTTCTCTCTTATGAATGGAGCAATTTTGCTATGGAATAACAGTTGTGGTGGTTTAATTTTGTATATTTACTTCTCCCCCTCTCTCTATATGGATTTGTCTCTGAAGAATGGACGAAATTCATGATGAAATAACAGCTGGTGTGGTTCGATTTTTGCATATTTGCTTTTCCCACGGTCTCTTTATGGATTTTCTCAAAAAAATGAAGTGAATTCGCAATGAAATAGCACTTGGGGGTGCTTGGTATTTACTCCTCTCGCGATATGGATTTTTCTATGGGAGATGAATGAAGCAAACTCACAATGAAGTGGCATTTTTTGTAGTTTTAATTTTTGTGTATTTACTTACTCCTCTTTCTCCATGCGGGTTTTTCTCTTAGGACTGAAGCAAATTCATGATGAAGTAACAGTAGAGTGGTTTTAATTATTGAATATGTACTTCCTCCTCATTTTCCATGTCGATTTTCCTGAGGCATGGAGCAAATTCACGATGAATGACGGTTGGGGTGGTTTTAATCGTTGTGGCGATCTTTCTTATGATAGGAATATGGGAGTTTTGGCTGAGAGTTATACAGTTTTTGCTATTGATTTGTTGGGATTTGGAGCGTCAGAAAAGCCGGCGGGCTTTGCTTACACAATGGAAGCATGGGCTGAGGTAGTCACTGAATTAACTCACATTCATCTCCTTGTAATTCATTCTTCATTGATCAGTCACAGGTCGTACTGTCCCTTTTCAAACCCATTTTTTACCAATCTTTTTTTCCTGTGTTTTTCATTAGTTTTACTCTATTTTTTCAGCTTCCTGTCGATGATGAAAAAGGGAAGTGCATTGCAGACCATAGTCCCTTAAGCTCATCAGTGTCAGTGAAGTGATGGATGGCATGGATATAGAGTGAGACTTACCGCGATGATCATGTTCTGTTATGGTGGGTCTCATTCTCTCTCCATTCAACATCCATCATTTTATTCGAGGCTGATATCCCTGATGAATTATGTGTATATGGAGCCCATTGGGTTATAGCGTGCATTCCCTTTTGAAAGTTGGGATTTGATCTGAAATTATAGTGGAATCAAATACATGCTTGTTTGTAAAATAGAATGAAAAGAAACAGAGCGAGGGGAAATTTTCTCCGAATTTCAGATATTAATATTCTTAATGGGAAAAACAACATTCTAATATGTTTACGATGTCAAATGCCATTTTAAAAGCCAATGCAGTTGGGCATATTTTACGTTTTCCTATTCTGACCAGTCATGAACTCCAAGAAATATATGCTGGCAATTTTCATTGATGAAGACTAATCTTTGTTTTTCTGCAAGTTCTAAATATAATTTTGCAGTTGATTCTGGATTTCATGGATGAAGTCATTGGGATGCCAACCGTGCTCATTGGAAACTCTGTAGGCAGCCTGGCCTGTGTCATTGCTGCTTCAGGTTAGAATAGGCATCAAATGTCCTATTTGTGATATAAACTTGTTGATTTTACTGATATTTAAAAAATTATTGTTGGGCTTTTTGGCTTCTGATCTGATAAAACCTAACTGATCACTAGAATCAAGGAAGGGTTTGGTTCGGGCACTCGTGTTACTTAACTGTGCAGGAGGCATGAACAACAAGGCAATTGTTGATGATTGGAGGATCAAGATTTTGCTTCCGTTACTTTGGCTATTCGATTTCTTGCTCAAGCAGCGGGGTATTGCATCCGCATTGTTTGAGCGTGTCAAAGAAAGGTATTATTAATTTAGTTTTCCTGGTTTTGTAAGCTAAAACAAGAATCAATCCATGCTCATTCTCTTGCCAAGACAGAGAGAATCTGAGGAACATCCTGTTATCAGTATATGGGAACAAAGAATCTGTTGATGATGAATTGGTGGAGGTACTTATTTTTCACCTTTATGATGCATTTTTGCTTCATATATTTCTGTTTTTTAGCTACATACATGAGAATGCAAAATAACTAGCATATTTTTTTTCTCATGATTTTCTGTCCTTGTTCTGCTTCTCCTTTAATTTCAACTGGGTGGTAGGCCATGTGAAAATTGAGTTTCTGATTAGGACCTTTAAACCATCAATCCAATTTATGATCAGGTAGAAATAAGAAAGAAATCTACCTTAATTGGCCAGTAGAAACTGTCATATGTCATTTTATTGGATGGATTTGGCGTTTTGCTTCTAGTATATTTTGGTATGACCAGAATGCAGCATGGTTTTCCATGTTCAGTTGAACTGTAACATACTCTTACCTTATTGATAGCGATGGTCTACCATAAAAGATGCCTTTGTTGTGATGCTGTACTTTTAGATTGTAATTGCAGATAATCAAAGGACCAGCGGACGATGATGGAGCTCTTGATGCTTTTGTGTCCATTGTGACTGGCCCACCAGGGCCAAACCCCATTTCCTTGATGCCAAGAATTTCAGTGCCTGTCCTGGTTTTATGGGGTGATCAAGACCCATTCACCCCTCTTGATGGACCTGTGGGCAAGTATTTCTCTGTTCTCCCTTCACGGTTGTCAAATGTTAGCGTATGTGTCGTCGAAGGAGTTGGCCACTGTCCACATGATGACAGACCTGATTTGGTCCATGAGAAGCTGCTTCCTTGGTTGGCCTGTCTTCAGGTTCCATGACTAAATTCCGTGCACTGGGTAGATGGATTCTTCAATGGTCCAATAATCTTCATAGCTATGATCCTCTTCCAAGTCAGAGAATAGATTTCCTTAAAAGATTCTCAAATCTTTATGCCTTGAAACCGAGGGAATTTAAGAGGGCATTGCTGGCATGCTCTTCTGGTGATTACAAAATCATTTCCTGGGTAACTTCAACGACTGTTAATGTGGTGGATTAAGTGAGAGTCATGGAATGTATGGTTTGCATCCCATGAAGATGATCATTCCTTGGGCTTAGTGAAGTCATGTTTGTCACCTCACTAAGAATTGGGTGCTCTTCCTATCTTTCCCACACAGGAAATGAGAGGCGAAAAAAGGAAGAAAATATAAAAGAAATAAAGAATGGTATATAGATCGGTATTCGCCATCTTGAAACATTTTGCAGAAGAGAGAGCTTTTTGTGTGTTAAAGTATATATCATTTGAGGCATATTCTATGATTGTGATTAGGAATTACTAGTTTGTTCTTAGAGTTATCTTTATGTAGTTTTTCAAACGGTTGGTTCTTGTGAAAATCTAGCTTGCTACCTTTGTTATGTAGGGAGAATTTTACTTCACAAGAGAAAAAATGGAAGAAAGGAAATCATACAATTTATGGTGGCTCCATCCTCGAAAGCAGTTTTTAAGAACCTTGACTTGGGTTGGGACTCGCAAGAGTCATACCCCTTTTTTTTTTGGGTTATTAGAAAAAACCCCTCAAAATTTTCAAAACCTCACTTATATCCCTTTTCTTCACTGTTTGGGATTTTGTGACCAAAATACCTTTCACGGTTCTAAGTAAATTGTGATTCTTAAGTGAAGATGAACCTAGAAAGTATCACAGTACTAACACAACCCTAATGACTCTTTGGGGATCTTCAATGTTCTAAGTGAACTGTTTATGGCAGAACGGTCCTAGCTCAACAGCAATCAATGCCTCTTATGTGGGAGCATGTTTCATATCATCAAGACCTTACTTAGAACCGTGGTTCACGTAGAGAGCATCACGGTACTAGCACAACCGTAATGCGTTTTATTCTTCATGGTTCTAACTCAACAATGATTCTCAAGTGCAAGCATCACGGTACTAGCACAATCGTGATACTCTATCATGGCCCAAACACTACCATGATGGTTTCAGTTCATTTAGTACATCATGGACCTAATACTACGGTGAAGGGTATTTTGTATGAGGTTTTAAAAGATTTAGGGTTTTTTCTAATAACCTAAAAGAAAGAGATATTTTTGATAATTTCCTAAGAAGTTATTTTTGCTGTCATTGCAAAATGATCCAAGTCTTTGTCGCCATAACCTTTATCGTACAAATAAGTCTAATCTCAGCAAGATGTTAGTGTATTCAAGTTTACTATTATGGAAAAGGTTTCTATGCTTCCTCTACAACATATAATATGTACTTTTCCTTCATCCAGCCGTCAAATTTAGATCAAGTGAGCCACTAATCCATTTAATCTAAATCCAACGCCTTAGAGTATAATTTTTTTACTAATTATATGAATATGAAATTTGGTACATGCCATAGCTTTAATGGGGTCTACATAAATAAAATATTAAAAAAAAATATTTGGCATAAATTAAAATGACCAAAATACCCCTGAAACTTTCAAGGGCATTTTAGTCATTTTATTTTATTGAGATTTTTTTTAAAATATTTTTTATAGGTGCGAGTTCAAGAGAGGATTGGACGCCTAAATTTTGGTGTTAAAATGTTTTATATATATAAAAATAAACTAAAAATAAAATAGTATAGAGCATGACATTGTAATTCGGCCCATCTAAGCCGTTAAATCTTTTCCAAGTCGTAAACTTTTTTGAGAACTTTATGTTTATGTCCTTCCAAATTAATGTTATTTAAGAATTTTTTAAAAAGGTTTTTATTTTGAGAAAATATTTATTTATTTTTTAATTGCATCTAGACGTTGAATGTGCCGAAGTGTAATCTTTTTTTTGCCAATAAATGTACTTTGGACCTTGAATATTCTAAACGTTAACTTCAAAGCGTCAAGGTTGGATGTTGATTCTCGTTCACAAACATCAACTCCAACCCTTGAAAGGTCGGATATTGGCTTTCGTTGGTTTTTGTTCACAAATATTAACCCCAGATCTTGGATGATGTTTGAGACCTTTTGTGGGTTTCTATTCCAAATATTAATTTTTGTTGCTTTTGTTCCAAACATCATCGAAGATTACGAGTAAAAAAAAAAAAATCCGACAATTTAATAAAAATAAAAAATTTACAAAAAAACAATGAAAAAATCAAGCGTTTGAGAGAATTTCCACGATAACATTAATGAAGAGGGATATTGTTGCAGGTTTGTTTTTTGTTCTAGGGGAGAGAGAAATATTTTTCTTAAAATCCAGGTCTAGCCGTATCTCTACGTTTTATAACTGTTGGACCATTTCTATGCTGTGATTATTCATTTACTTACCGTATTGACTTATTTTTGTTAATTTTCCATGATGTCTCAATCGGTGTTTAGAGGATCGCCTTGGCCAAGGAACTCGAACCTCGGCCAAGTCGAGTTACTCGACCAATTCCGCTACAAGGCCAAAAAGCCTAAAAAAAATTTAAAATACAAAAAATAAAATAACAATATTTAAAGTAAAATAAAATCAAAATCAACCTTAACGAGTCCAAATATCCTTAAGAAAGTATGAATAATTGATTTATAGTTATAGACATTTCAAAAAATCTAAAAACAAAAAAAATATAAGAATAAGGATTATGGTGACAAAGATTCACAAATCTATGCCGAAGACTTTTAAACCATATACAAAAAAGTATATATGAATTTATAAATTTTTTAGATTATTTTAATTATTTTATGTACCCCGAGTTGTACACAAGACACGAGTAATTTTGTGGTCTAATCTGACATGATTATATTAAACCCAAGCTTATTATAAGATGATAAGAACGTCACAACCAATGTTGACAAAACTAAAATATTTGCAAATTTATTTGGAAGTGTCAAAAGCCACTCTCACTTGCCTGTATGAAAAGAAAACCAAGCAAATTAGTCGACCCTAAATTCATATAAAATTGAATAAGGAATTTGAGCCCATTCCCAATCGCCTTCAGTTATTGCTAGCAGGAAATAATTAACAGATTATTTCTGGTGAGCACCTAACGTCATCACTTTTTTTCAAATTATGGTTGTGCATACTATATATTTAATCCCTTGGGCGAAACACTTGAGATTATTTATTTATTTATTCGAAATTCTGGGTTCTGTCTAGCTATGACTAGATGATTATTTCCAAAAGAAAAAAATTAATGTTGAGTTCTTGAAAATCTAGATCATTTTCTTCAAAAATTGTGTGGTTCGACTAGATCATTTTCTTAAAAAATTGAGTGGTTCGAGTAGAATCTTGGGAAGCCTTTTTTTTTTCTTTTTTCTTTTATTCGAGGTTAGTTGGCAGGGTTATAAAGACCACATCCCCAAAATTTGGGATCTAAAAGACATTCCTAGGGTGGAGGGAGTAGATGAATATGGTACTCCCACACGAGTAGAAAACCTTGTGGATAAAAAAGTTTGTGGTCCTCTCTTATGTTTTAGGTGGATCTCATTTGTAAAATCGTATTACATTTGGTACCTCTGGTTTCGAGAATTTTTCATTCTAGTTGTGAGACTGAGGTGCTTCACACTGTTAAAAAAAATTGTGTGGCAATTGACTTCAAAAAAAAAAAAGTGTTTCTCTAAGATCCCAGTTCCAAGTTTCCAATGATGAATGCAGCGTTTCCAAGTTGTCCACGTCCCCCCTTTTTGTATATTTGGAACTCAGCATAAACCAGTTTAAAAAATAAAGTCTTTGTGTGTGCGTGTCAATAAATATACAGACACCATACACAGAGGTAAATGACTGACATAATGCATGGGGACGCATCACCAACTTCAAAAATAAGGATCATTGGTAGCGAGTTTATTATTAATATGTCCTCCTCAAACATAAATAAATAGCCTCAACGCCATATGTATACCATACATCAAGAATGATGGATGGTTATACATAAAATAGAACATCTAAATATTGATAACTTTAGCAAAAACTAATGTTTGAATTTGTTAAACTACCTGAAATTTTACAATGCTTTGGCTACAAAGTTCACCAGAAAATTGGCCATTGAACCGGGAACCAGAGAATATCATCTGATAACATTTTAGTTTCAGAAGAGTTGGGAAATTTTAGAACTGTACTATACACTAGAGTATTAGACTAGAGTCAAGAAGACCTATTCAGTTTTTTCAATGGTGGAAAAACAAGAATATACAAGTCCTTTGACCTGGTACAAAGGTGACAGTAAGCATGAGTAGGTAGCACAGGCTATTTGACTTTATGGTTTACTTATAACCTTATTATTGGTATAGTCCAAAGGAAAGGGAATAATTTTTGCTTTCTTATTTTAATTGATCAAATGTAATGGAATATTCAATTGAGACAATTCAAAGATATCCTCTAGTTTTCATGGCATAGAATATTATCCCCTCACCTACCTACAATATCCAAAGAACCATTTCTTTCATCTAAATTAGTGTTCACAGACTCCGGCCGAGTTGGCCCCTTGTTGAGCCAAGTACTCATGTACAACTCAGGTTGATTAAAAAATATATAAAAATTATATTAATGGTAAATCAATGTAAAATTTGTTTTTATGTAATCGGATGTTTTTAACAATGATTTGTGAGTTTTTCCTGTCCAATGTCCTATTTTTAAAGTTTCCTCCTTTTTGTAGATTCTTTTGAAATATTTCAAACTATAAATCAATTTTATCCAAATCCATGTTATTTATATTTTCTTAAGCTTATTTGGACTATTTATTTTTGTCATGTTCATTATATTTTTAACATTTTTTTGGATTTTTTTGAGGGCTTTTTGGCCTTGTACACTACTTGGGAAATCCAATCGGACTTGCCTGAGTAACTCTCTTAGGGCTAGGGATGAGCCTGAGACGGAGCCAAGTTTCCAAACAATGATTAAATATTTGATTAAAGCTAAGTTGATGCAGGCCCAGATCATCTACTCAGAAGACACAAACAATATATTCTCTTCTCATTACAGGGTGCCAAACCAAGGGCACATGGCATTCCCTCTTTTGGGAGGGGTCCAGGGGCAGTTTGGATATTTCAAAACAGGGGACAATTTTGAGATCAGTAGCATATTTAACAGATCTTGACTCTGTCTATGTGTATTTTTAAGTATGATTCAAATGACGTCCCATCACATCATAATTAACATAACCCACTAATTGAGTTTTTGCAAATGGAGTATAATTTCTATTACAATCTCTATTATATGTTTAGTCACAGAGTAAGTTCCATGCCACATATTATTACAGAAAATCTTTTAATAGACAGTCTTGGTTTTCCAAAAGAAAATTCAGAATTCTTAGAATCATGGTGTTTGCACGTTACATGCATTAAGATCAGCAGATGAAGATTGATTGAAAATAAATAGACCGAACTAACCCTTAAGAAAATGAAAAGGAACTCCAAAATAAAAAGAGAAAAGGATGTATGTTTGGTAAATGAGTAACATCAATAAAAAATTATAGAATCATGGCCATTTTCAGAGCACTGCTGATCCATGGGCTGAGTAAACAGGATTACTAGTCAACTGGAGCAACTACCTAGTCACCGTACCCGACAAACTACAGAAAAGGATTTCCACCATACACTTGCAAATACATACTTATTATATAGTTTTCAACCCCCATTAAGCTCTTTAAAAAAGGGAAAGAGAAAACAATGCAAGATAATCAACTCTCTAGAACTGCATTCCATTGCATTTCTGATGAAATAAAGCAACAAGTTACAAGCGATGGATTCCACGTTCACCTCAGGAGTAGAGCAAGTCATCTATAATTTCATAAATTTTTATTCAAAATAAAGACTTCTCCTAGCTGATGGCCCAGATCAGTCTCCATATACAAACTAGGGACTCTTGGCCTTTAGATACGATCGGAGTCTTGCATTACACAAGAAGCCTGTCTTTTAAATACAAAAACATGCAGTGGGAAGAATGATGGAGGCATTCTTTTTGTTTCAGGAGATGATGGAGGAATATGTGAAATAGAAGCATATATGAGAAACACCTTTCAAGATATGGACTTCGGGCTAGGAATCTGACTCTACTTTGGAAATTCAATACTTCGGCCTTGCAACTTAGTTTAACAGAGGCTGCTGCTATAACTGAGGCTATGTAGTAAAATCCTATATCACAGAAATATGGTTATTCTGTTGATGCTACCGATTGTCTTCGTGGACAACTAAAGATTTGAAGCGATGGGACCGATGGGCTGGCCCTGCATTCAGTTCTTTGTCATTTTATGCCAACTTTGTGCTATCTATGGACAAGAAACCAATCCTTTTGATGGTAAGTCAGTTCTCCTACAGTTCATCCTTATACCAAAAATTCACTTCCAAAGTTTATTTAAATTCATAGCAACATGCCTCTGAGAACACAGCGTGAATCGTGATTGATTTCATCAGTCTTGAAATGATAAATACGGAGCTCTTTCTTCTTTTTCAATCAGATATAAAAATAAATAAAAAGATGTTCAAAGGGGTCCTGAATCCTTTTCCAGAACAATCAACTTTTGCACCCTACAAAGGCCCCAATTCATACCAGTCAATCACTGATACCCGTGTAAGAATGTAAATTATTCAGAGGAAAAGATAAAGTGCACAGCCCAAAGGCAATTATCAATCTATCTCTAAGGAATTTAAGATAAAACCAATACAAGATTTTGCAGGTGATTAAGAGAAGAAAATAGAGGAAAATACATGGAAGTCATTTGCTTTCCTTTCTGCAGGTGCTGTACTTACTTCCCTACAGAACGTTTGGCAGAATGTGCCACCTACTTGGAAGGGTGGGGATCCATGCCTCAATCAATGGGATGGAATTAGTTGCAATGGTTCCCGTGTGACCGCCATGTCTGTAATCCATTTCAATTCATTTTATTGACGGTTAATGCATTCCATTTCTTTAAAAATGAATCATCCTACTCAATTAGCTGCTGTCTTCCTAAAAATTTAAGTGCTGCATGTTGGTGTTGTTTGTCAGCAAGTTGTCGACTATGGGCCTCAAGGGTACTCTGACTGGCGACATTGGATCTCTGTCTGAGTTACAGTATCTGTGAGTAACTCTATCACCATTGTGGATACTTCATGTTGAGTGAGTTAGGGCGACCTTAGGCCTGTCTCAGTTACCGGGCTCTATTGAGTGTTCAAGGATTATTTTGAAATCTTAATCTCCACAATAATAGATATGAAAAGAAGGAAGAATATCTACACTTAGAGAAACCTCCATTCCCCTAAATGGATTATGTTTAATTTTCGAATATTTTCAAATCCAACATGAGAACCATCTTATAAACACATCATAGCTAGTCCAAATGAGCAAAGAACTCCATGAATGGTTCCAGTTCTTTTTTCCCTCAAAACACACACACATACACAAACAAAGAAAGAAACAAACATACACACATAATAAAAACACAGACACAAAAAGAAAAGGCACCTTGCAACTGTATTCTTGTACAAGTAAAGCTGACGTTGTCTGTGGAGAAAATGAAAACAGAGACATGATTTCAATTTCTTGGCCTGATTTGTTGCTTGAAAAGGATCTAGTAAGTACTAAGAAGTTTCTCTATGAATGCAGGGATTTGTCTTATAACAAGGATTTAACTGGGTCCCTTCCACAAAGCATTGGAAATTTGAAAAAACTTACAAACTTGTAAGGAAACTCGTTAATATCATTGCCTGCCTTTTTGCGAGAAGTCTGCTGACTTCAGTGGATAGATGAAACTTATGTGCCCTTTATCACAGGATCCTAGTTGGTTGCAGCTTCAGTGGTACTATCCCAGCACAGATAGGAAGTCTTCAAGAGCTGGTCTTTTTGTAAGCACCAAACACTCATAGAAGAGCATTCATCTGCACTCACTCCCCTGATCTTTCTCATTGTCTCCACGGGCTCACTATTCATTATTGCAGGTCACTGAATTCTAATGGCTTCACTGGAGAGATACCTCCTTCAATTGGCAGTCTATCTAAGCTGTATTGGCTGGATCTGGCCGACAATCAACTTACTGGATCCATTCCAATCTCCACACCAACTTCACCTGGTCTGGATATGCTGCTGGGCACAAGGCACTTGTATGCTTCGATACTCTCTTATTTCCTTTTCATTTAATTAAAATAGAAGCCTATTTTTTTTCATCTCTTCCACTTTCTTTCTTACGAAGGAAGGAAGAGGACATTTAGAAATAATTTTCGCCAAGTTTTTTTGGATAACAGCAATTCGCTTTCTGGAAATTACGTCATGGATAATGAATAACAAGGTTTGGGCTTTGATTTGCAGCCATTTCAATAGGAATAAGCTCTCGGGTTCCATTCCAACTCAACTTTTCAGCTCAGCTATGACTGTGATACATATGTAGGCTACCTAAAGCTCAATTTAACCAAAAATTCATCAATAGTAAATCTTCACAGTTGGAAATCTAAAATTAAGCTTCCATTATAACAGACTCTTTGATGGCAACAACTTCTCCGGGAAGATCCCATCCAGTATAGGACTCGTAACAAGTCTGGAGGTTCTGTGAGTATAACCTACATATGCGGACTCGTCCAGTGATTGTAAGACCTATGGAAATCTTTCTCTATCAATCTGATTACTGATATTGTATGTCTATTTCAAACAGTCGGTTAGATCGAAACAAATTTGAGGGGCCTGTTCCAGCCAACCTCAATAACCTTACGAAAATCCAGGAACTGTGAGTAGAGCCATATGCACCTATTCCAGTACGTAGTGAGCGTCTTATGTCTATTCTGATACCATTTGTATGCCATGTTTCAGGAGTTTGGCGCAGAATGCACTGACCGGCCCGTTACCCAATCTCACAGGGATGAACGTTCTTGCTTATCTGTAAGTAGTCTAAAATTCACTGATGAAAGACAAAATTATTAGGCAGGCTGCACCCATAAATTTCATCCTTAACCGATAATCAACACTGAGATTATGAATATTATGATTGTCAGGGACTTGAGCAACAACAGCTTCGATGCAACAGAACCACCACCATGGTTGCCTACATTACAGTCTTTGACAACCATGTAAGTTATCACTGAGGTTGGCAGGTGGGGGTTTATTCGATTTCACATACACCACTATAACTATCTGTTTATCTATCCATCCTTTTGCACACATAAATACTTGCAAACAGAGCACCTAAAGACATACTCTTTTAGTTTTGATATTAAGTTTGGCAAATTTTCTATTGTACAGAGTCATGGAATCCATAAGACTTCAGGGTGAACTCCCACAGGCAGTATTCACCATCCCGCCGTTGCAGATGGTGTAAGTATTAATGAAACTTGGCTGGAAGAATCTAGGTTCATCTATATATTTGATTACATTATAAATGTGGTGCTTATGGATTGCAAATGTGGCAGGAAGATGAGAAACAATAACCTAAATGGTACAATTGACATAGGCAGCAATTTCACCTCGCAGCTAAACTATATAGATCTGGAGAACAATGACATTCAAAAGCTTGTCTCGGAATCTACATACAAAAAGACATTCATGTAAGTCATCAATCCACAGCTTCTTGCTCAGAATTGGTTATTTGTTGATGACTGCAACTCTACACTACACCCCAAGCTTGATTCCTACCCCTGAATTATCAAAACCAAATATCCATATTTACTATTTTGGTTTTCTTTTGGATAAAACGTAAATATCAAGGGATCAGGATTTCCATCTCTGGTTAAATGGGATAACTATCCTCAACTAAAAGGGGTCGCACCCCTGTTGGAAATTGGGGTGCAATCCTGGTTTCAATGAATTATTAATCCCAATGGGGTATTAAAAATCTTTTGAAATTTGAAAGCAGCATCATTGAGTTTGTGCTGATTTTTTGCTTTTCGACAATTTGCAAGCTAAAGACCACCGCTCGATGATTTTGGCTTTTCAATTTCATGATCGTGGTTAGCACGAATAGTCGATCCAGAATCACCCAAGTCCACTTGAACACGGGGTGCTCTGTCTTATGGTTTTGAACTGGGAGTTGCTTGGGTGGTTCTCCAGAAACGAGAATTTAATTTTTAAAGTGTACCTTAATTTAATTGTTTAAGGCCTCAACCTGGTATAAATTTTGTCCTCACACATATATGTGTGTAGAAAAGTATATCATGAGACCATTTACCTTTGGTACAAGACGGTCACAATTAATCTTGACCATTTGATGCGAATATTCCATTGGACAAGCTCAAAGTTCAAAAGAAATCTTCTCGAAATTTATGACACACCCAAGCTATCAAATTTCACATCGGATGGTTCTAAATAATTGTGACCTCATCACAATCATTCTCGATCGTTAAATGTAAAATAAGGTGGCTGGGGGCGTGTCATTGACTAGGTATAAAGTCCAAAATCAAATTTCTTGAACTAACTATAACACTCTTTAAGTAGTTGGATTTCAATCCAGTTACTAAGAGTGATTATGATCTCCTTGTACCTAAATGGTCTTATAGTATACAATTCCTATATATAAACACATGAATTCTAAAGAGTGCTCCTATGTACATATGGCAAGTGTATTAGAGGCCGCTACCTGAGTAGTACTCAATGGAGCTCCTAAAAGTAGGGAAGTTCTACAATAGGTCGATCCTAGGCTCCTGCTTTTCCAACGACAATGGATAAAATGGACGAAAATTGGACTTTATTGCATCCATTACTAATCTCTAATAGTATATTCAGAAACTTTTCAGGAAAAGATTTACATGCCACAGTTAACCATATTAAAGTAATTAAACAGGCTAGAAACACTCTTCCAATGTTCTCCACTACAAGCTTCCTATATCCCAAGTTTGTGAACTACAACTCGAAGAGATATAGCAGTATTCATGGTGCACATAACAATTTTCTTTAATGATAAATAGAACTCATAACGACTTTGATTTGATTAATGGAAATGCAGCCTTTATCCTTGTGAGAATAAGATCCAATCTCGGAAAATCACATACCACTTTGTGATTGAGAATATATGAGAATTGGGAAGCTACACAGAAGCTTATTTAATTGGGTTCTTTGCTGGTAGAGAAACATGCGCTATCATCTGACACCATATTTGTCTCCCAAGACAAAAACACTAACCACTTGCTGGCCATGTTCTTTTTACTCATACAAAAAAAAAAAAAAATCGAAGTGGCCATTCTCTACTGCATTAGTTTTTTGCATTTCGGTTACAATAATGATTATGATCATATGTAAAAAAAAAATTACTTCTGGAACCCAGGTAATCTTCTTATGACCAAGACTGATTGTTTCTTGGACCATCTGATGTTGCAGACTGGTGGGAAACCCAGCTTGTGACGCACAATTGGCTCAATCTTCTTACTGCGACACTCCTAAACCCCTCGTCCCTTATTCCACACCCCAACAAAACTGTGCACAAGACTTGTGCCCTCCCACCCTGCGAGCCAACCCCACATGTGGCTGTGCAGCACCCTATACTGGGACACTAGTCTTCAGGGCACCTTTATTCTCAGACACAACAAACACCACACTCTTCCAATCATTAGAGGTCCAATTGCAGACCAAGCTTCACGTCCCCCCTGGATCAGTTTCGCTGCAGAACCCCACAATGGATTCTGAGAGCTATATGCAAGTGCAGCTCTACATCTTCCCAACTGATGAGCAGCAATTCAACAGATCAGAGGTTTCAACTTTGGGATTCCGCCTGAGCAATCAAACCTTCAAACCTCCACCCAGCTTTGGTCCCTTCTTTTTCATTGCCAATCCTTATTACTTCCCAGGTAACTCAAGAATTTGCGTAACCTCACTCCATGTGCAGCCACAAGCTGCAGGAAATTGCTCTCTCACATGAATTGATGTGTTTCCTCAGAAGTGGAACAAAGCAAACAGGAAAACAATTCTCTCATTATTGGACTCTCAGTTGGTGGAGCTGTTCTTGTTCTCATATTCATTATCGTGGCACTATTTGCTTTTGAAAGGAAGAGGAAGGCTGAAAGACCCACGGGGAGAAGCAGTTCTTTTGGTAAGATATAGAAGTTTAGTATACTTACCAACTGGTAGTTTCTTGTGTTCTAAACTTCTGATTTTTTTGTCACACCTTATTTTTGGCAGTTTCATGGAATCCAAGTGATAGGAAGAACAGCGGCAGTGCACTGCAGTTGAAAGGAGCAAAATGGTTTACTTACGAGGAACTCAGGAAATGCTCAGACAACTTTGCCGAAGCCAATGGCATTGGATCAGGAGGCTATGGCAGGGTAACCCACCGGACCGCTCCTGTTGTGATTCCTTTAATTCTAGTTCCCACGAACAAAATATCAAGGGTGCAGTTTATATAAGGGTGGAACCTTACTTGCGGAAGTACGCTTGCGATGTTTTACATTGTTTATTTTAATTGAATGGTGCAGATTTGACATGTTTTTAAGATAATGTCATACGTGACACATCTTTCAAGATCGTGTCAAAGATACACATTCTAAATAAATTGACCACAGTAAATCATTGCAACCTTATATCTACAAGGGAATTTTACAACCTTATATAAACTTTTTCAAAAAATAAAAAGAAAAATAAAAATACGAAAAAATAATAATTCAAGTATCAGTTTACTACATATCCTCCCCAGCACTTCAGGAAAAGCCTCCTTTAGCTACTTTGTTTACAAAAGTGGGAGATTAACATGAAACTCAATTTACTTTTGCAACTAAATCTGTCCCATCAATTCTTGAAAACTGTATTTCAAAAAGGAAAAACTTAATAGTGATGCTCGGCTTTGCTAGGGTGAGACTCCGCCCCTTATCAAAGATCGCAGGAGGTCACTGGGAAAGAAAAAAGAAAAAAGGAAGGATAAAAACAATGAACTACATAACTATAGACCATGACAAGAGAAATGAATGCAGATTCCACTGTTTGAGAACAAGCCAATATGAATTTTCCAAGGGGGTAAAAAAAAACTAGCCAAAGTCATTTGTTTACCTAATTCTTTGCATTTATATTTTGCCTTTATTTGTTGCTATTTCTTTAAGAACAGAAAGCAATAAGAACAATCTCTCAATTAACCATTTGATGATCTATGCTTCTGTAAGGCACTAAAAGAAAAATGATGAGCTATCTCTACTTGGTTAGGCATAATGGTCTGATTGGAAGGCAAAAGTTTTTCATTGGTAAAAAATTTTTATTCAATAGAAAAGAAGATATAATAGATCATAATTACAATCACAGCTCCTGGATTGAGCCTCAACTAACCAAAGGATTTTAAACCTTAAAAGTTAGCTAGGGTGTCTCTTACTTCACATGCCTCCTTGTGAACCTGACTACTGAAAATTCATAAAAATCATTGCTCTGTCTCTCCCATAAGATAACACTTCAATGTCATGAGAAGGGAAACATTCCTCAAGAACACTAGCTAATATCAGGGATTAACTTACGAGAAAATCCTGGCGAGAAAATATAGTTTACATGTCAATTCCGTTCCTCTTTTTTGTTCTTTCTGTTGAGTGTCATAGTTCCTTTCCTATTTCATCATGATGATTCTTGCAAGATCCACAGGTTTATCGAGGAGTATTGCCCACTGGCCAAATGGTGGCCATCAAAAGAGCAGAACAAGGATATGGGCAAGGTGATCCAGAATTCAGAATGGAAATTGAGTTGTTATCAAGAGTTCATCACAGAAACCTTGTCACCCTCATTGGTTTCTGTTTCGAGCAAGGTGAACAGATACTTGTCTATGAATATTTCCCCAACGGCACTCTAAGAGAGAGTCTCTCAGGTATGGTAATGAATCATCATATCTTAGTATTTTCTTTTTCTTTTCTTTTATTTTATTTGTTGTTTTTATTAGTTCAGAATTTTACTTGTATCTAAACTATTCTGGAAAATAGTAATCTTCAAAGAAATTTCTCTCTGGAACACTGTTCTTTGACAAGATCCCAAAGAAAAGGCAAAAGACAAATATTCACCCCTCTCCAATTGATTACAGCATGTAGTCCACTACTGTGTGAAGTAGAGATTCACATAGAATAGGCCCCATATGAGAATGCACATGCTTGTTGTATGTATCCATTTTTTTGTGTGCTTGAACACATGCATTCAAACTTGTAGAATGCACATTATGAAACTACAAGTACAATAACAAGAAAAATGAGAACAACAAGAACAGTAATGCAATGGTGACAACGAAATGGAACATTTATATTTTGATTAGTGAGATTCTGAGTTTTTATGCAATGACAGGAAAGTCCGGGGTTCGGCTAGACTGGAAGAGGAGGCTTCGGGTTGCTTTGGGTTCAGCAAGAGGGTTGGCATATTTACATGAGCATGCAGATCCACCTATTATTCATAGGGATGTCAAGCCCAACAACATCCTTCTTGATGAGAATTTGAACGCCAAAGTTGCAGATTTTGGCCTCTCAAAGCCTATAGGTGACAGACAATGCCACGTCACAACTCAAGTCAAAGGAACACTGGTAAGTCGATTCTCTCTCTCTCTCTCTCAACCATTGAAGCCCAGCTCACAAAGGAAAGAGCATAATTCTTTTGCAGGGTTATTTGGATCCTGAGTACTACATGACCCAACAGCTGACAGCAAAGAGCGATGTTTATAGCTTTGGAGTGCTAATGCTGGAGATGTTATCAGGAAAGCCTCCTATAGAGAGAGGGAGGTACATAGTAAGAGAGGTGAAATTGGCAATGGACAAGACCAAAGACCTGTATGGCCTTCATGAGCTCCTTGACCCCACCGTAATGGCCTCACCAAGCCTCCCTGGCTTCGAGAGGTATGTGGACCTTGCCCTTAAGTGCGTTGGAGAGTCGGATAAAGACCGACCCAACATGAGTGAGGTGGTGAGGGAGATGGAGGAGATAATTAGTGAAGCTGGGTTGAGCACCACCACAAACTCTGCAGCGACTTCGGCAACCTTTGCTGGCTCAGCAAGAGGAACTCCTCACCATCCTTACAATGACCCCTCTTTCGACTATAGTGGTGCCTTCCCACCTTCCACTCCAGTTGAACCCAAGTGATACTCTTTTACATCTTTAAAATGTTTAAATTTGTTCCCTTTGCCTGTTGATTGTGTTCATAGACAATGAGACGTTATAGTTTTTATGTGGTTTATTTAGGAGCATGTTTATTAAGAACTTAAAAGCGTTCCACAAGTTGTGCATTTATGCATCGTATAGAACTAAGGCACTGTATATATGTACTACATGATCTTTTTTTTTTCTTGGAATGCTAGTTGTGCTTTGTTTACTTGTCTTACATTCCTAGACAATATGCTGTTGATGGATGATTCACAAATAGTTAGTTATATTATCAGGTAATGAAGATTGATCGGAAGTCACAAGAGGCCATTTGCACAGAAGCGGTCTTACCACACAAGTTAACTGTAAAACACTTGCTTTAAGCATAGAGGTAAAATGGATAGATTCGATGTTACGCTGCTGCCTTTTTTTTCTGATCTTTGATTTGGTTTCAATTAAGGATTTTCCCATTCGATTATTTTATTTGAATTTTATTTTATCTTTTGCATCTTCTCATCAACACAGTTTGAGAATATTGCAATTTCTGACGAGAAGAAATTAATTTATCTACTCTGTTTCAATGATTAAACTGCCATTCACAATTTGACATATAGATGAAGGATTAGAGATGTATGTTGATTCAGGATTCATTAGAATCACACAAAGTTAGTTCATTCTGAAAGGATCAAAATGAAAAATTACAAAACAAAAAGGAGTTCATAGAGGTTCATGCGTTCCCAGATGTTGCATGGTATACAGATTCAATCGAGGCAAATTTATGCCAGTTTTTTCCTCTGGAAACCAACTTGAAATGAGTAGAGAATACATTGCGTAGAGGGAGAGATGGAGAGAATCAAAACCGAACCGGAGATATTCGGCAAAGAAAGGTGAAGGTAAAGAGAAAGTAGAAGCCTTTTCAAAATCAAAATTTCAATGAGGTTTAGTTTGCACTAAGAGTGGTCTTAATTCGAAAACAATCATGGCAATGAAAACGATTATTGAGTTATTACTATAACAGCTTTATAAAGGAAATCAAAACATCAACACAGGAATCGAACTCTTTCTGCTGATTTTTGGTACACTGACGCAAAAAGCCCAAAACTTGTCTAAAATCTGAAGGCCTACTACAACTCTTCTTTTGATTCTTATTAGTTTCAAACGAATCGAATAAAGAGCAGTTAAAAGTAATTAAAAGAAGGTGCTCCTCTTAGAACATGGGCTTCTCGAGGATGGCTGAAAGGTAAACCTCGTGGGGCCCCTTGTCGGCCTTGCGGCCGACCGTCCACCGAAGTTGCCGGAACCCAATCCGGACGAACATGGGGACGTATGTCCTGTTGAGTTGTGGCCCCAAGCAGAAGAAGTGGTCCACCCAGAACAGGCCCCCCGGCCTCAGCACCCTGTATACATCGTACAGCACCTGCTCCAGCATCACCTCCGGCACCCAGTTGCTCAGCACGTGCATCGAGTGCACAATGTCGAGCGTCCCTTGGAAGAAGGGAAGCCTGTGCGCCACCGTCAGGTGGAGGGGCACCAGGCCCCTGGAGGCGATGAAACTGTTGAATGGCCCGTCGAAGTTCATGCTCGTCGTCACGACAGTCACATTCCGCTCTCTCATGCGCGCCCCAAATGTCCCGGACCCACCACCGATGTCAAGGCCGATGCGTATGGTCCCATGTTTGAGTGTGAGGACATCGTCAATGCTGTAGTCGAGACCCCTCCAGCCTCTGTTGGAGCCGAGCCACCTGGACTTCTCACGCCCTGCGAGGTCGAAGCAGTCCTTGCAGTCGGGGTGGACGGTGGGGTCGTTCTTGCGGTCGATGAGGCAGCCATAGCTCTTGCATCTGTATGGGTCCCACACGATGCTGGTGTCGGGAGGGGTGGTCCACATGGACTGCGGGAAGGCGTGGGGCTCCACATAGTTGCTGGGGCTCTTCGGGTGGCACCGCCGGCGGGGCAGCGGCTCGCACCCCTTCAGCATCAGCTGCTGCGCCAGGGCGTCGTCCGAGGGACACTCTCCGCCCACCTGCTTCGTTGCAACACACCGAACCAAGGTGATCAAATTACAAACACAAGGCATCATTGTCACATAACGCCGTTACTTTGAAGATCAAGCATCCAACGTGCATACCTTGTAGGACATGTACTGGCGGAGCTCAGACTTGAAAAGGCGGCAGGCGTGGCCGATTGGGGGAACGATCTCGTCGGTTCCAAAGGCATGGGAGTAGCCCAATGGCAGCTTATGAGGGGCCACCACCACCTTCATCTCTGGCATGAGCTCGCCCCACCCGAACAATGGATCGTCATCGTCGTCGTTGCTGTTGTCTTGAGCATGAGATGAGGGGAGGGAGTCTCGAAGTCGGGCGATTTCGGAGAGGAGGGTGTCGAGGAGGGTGTTGGAGGTGTGGAGGTGGGTTCGGAGGTCGGAAAGCTGAGACTCTGTGGCCTCGAGGCGCACATGGGTGGCGTTGAGGAGGCTGCTCTGTGTGTCGAAGAGGCCCCCGATACTGGAAGGGAGTTGAAGGGAGGAGTACCAGTTGTCCTTGTTGTTGTCGAAAGGGCCGGCTCCAAAGATGTAGAGGGTGAGAATGTTGGTGGAGACGATGAGCAGGAACAGCTTAAGCTGAGAACGCCAACGTCGGGGATCAACGCCTTTTGGATGGTCCTCTGACCCCATCTCTCTTTTCTCTTCCTCTCAATCTTTCTTTGTGACTCTGAAACAACTGAAACTTCCTCTCATTTCTTTCTCACAGACTCTCTCTTTCAACTACTCAAACCGTTGAAATCTCCTACACTACAAATCTATGATTAACTAACTTCAATAAAAAAAACCTCTTTTCTTGCTATGTCATAAATTGTTGGAAATGAGTCTCTCTTTCTCACCCAAGCAAACACAACCTCTGTGTCTTCATCTCTCTTATACGAGAACAGAGACGTAGAGAGAGGTTATTGGGGCGTAACCATAATGAGCTAAGTATTGGTAGGGGCTATCTCATACGTAAAAATATATATATGCATTTGCATAAACTAAAGGGTTGGGGACGAACAAATAATAATATTGTTACTCGTTCGAGTAAAGAGTATCATACTCTTTACCACCAATACAATAAAATTAGAGTCTGAGTCTCGCTGAGTGTGACCCGGCGCTTTGCCCGTCCCAAAGCATTCGTGAGGGAAGGGGAAAGGCCCACTGTGTTGCATTCTTTACGCTACTTCGAGTCAATGTAAAAGGAAAAAGAAGGGGAAGGCCCACTGTGTTGCATTCTCTACACTACTTCGAGTCAATGTAACGTGGCACCACATAACAACCACCCCTGCTTTTCATGCCTATAAATTAATAATAATAATGTGAGGGATTGTATGCTACAACACTACATCTTTGGCACTAGAAATAAATGAATTATATGGGATTGTATACTGCAAGAGCATTTTTCTTGTATAATTATTAAAAAAATGATATCATGCTATAAGACATTTTTTTTTTTTTACAAAGAGATTAGAGTCACTCTATATCGTCAAATGTCAAATCCTAAAGCTCAAGATGTATTGCAAAGATTGAAAAATGAATGGTACATTCCCAACTGTCTGATACAAATTTAACGGCCATTCCCAACCATCTAATACAATGCCTTGTGCCCAAATGCTCTTTTTTTTTTCTTTTCCATATTTTGTCTTTTTTTTCATAACTTTAATAAAAAATAATTTTCGTGCTTTTTTCTATCACGGGAATCCAATACTTAATTAAATAATAATATGTATGGGTCAATGTCACACTATAATAAGAACATAAAAGAGGAAGAGCACCATGATCCTATGGAACCCTCTCTCAATCTATGTGGATAAGACTTCAAAAGATCACTATTACAATTGATGTGGATCTCTAAAAAAATTATAACATAAGTGTGAGACTTGACTTTTTTATAGATCCGTATCAAATTTAATAACGATCATTTGAAATCCTACACGTATAGGTAGAAAAAATCTTATAGCATCATTTCTCCAACTCCAAACCACCGCAACTTTTATTTTTTATGTTTCCAAACCAGTGACCGCCTTTAGGTTTAGGGATCTATGCCCATGGAAGTAGGACCATTCCAATGGCCGCTTAGGCACCTTTTAATTAAAGAGTCAAATGTACCTCATTCTGTCACCTTTTTAAGTCATATGGTTCTCCTATGTTTTTTTCAATAATGTAAGTCATCTGCCTTTTTTTTCTTTGCTTTTCAGTTACAAACCCACAGTCTCGAGGTTAGTGGAATTCCAATATTGCTAAGGCCCCTAAGGCTTTGTGCCCCAATGCCTTCTCCAACCACGTTATCTTAAGGGATGAAATGGAAAATGTCATTACTTTACCAAGGGCATGAGGGGAATGAAAAGAAAGAAAGAAACCATGACGGATTTAGGTATTCACACCTCATCATGAAAATGGCCAATTCAATAACGTTTCTCCCTTTTTTCTCTCATTAAGTTTGAAAAATACCTTATCTTTTTTAAAAAAATTATGTCTATACACATTCGTTAACTTCATATAATTGTTAATAAAAAGTGCATTTCACAGTTCTATTAGTACCGTTTTCGTTTAATGTCCTAAGACGACCATTAGTGTTGTGATGATTCAAGATTTATTTGGTACTGTGATGGTTCAATGCAGTATTTTATAGACCTTCATAGGGAAAATCACAGTAGTGATATGATGGTGTGGGATGAATTAGAAAAGGACATTGGACTATCAGGGTACTGTTAATACAGTGGTCTATAAAACAACTTAAGGTGTGAGAGTTAGGCATTGGACCGTCACTGTTCTAATAGAACCAAGAAGGGTATTCTTGATAAAAAAAAAATTATTTTTAATAGAACCAAAAAAGGTATTTTTGGTAAAAAAAAAGAGAGTTATAGATTGGGTATGGATGTAGTTTTCAAAGAATTTAGGTAATTTTCAAATTCATTAGAAAAAGGGATATTTGTGATAATTATGCTTAAAATATTTCAATACCTTTTTTCCTTTCACGATAAATATTGTTCATCTACTTTTTTTCATCTGAGCTTTGATCAAATTCTCAATACTTTTAAGTTTTAGAAAAGGGCGTGGTTTGTATAAGGTTGCAACCTTAAACAATCCAATTAAGGTGCACCTCCAAACTTTATCGTAACATATTATTTTGTTGTGAAAAATTCTTAGGATTATCTGAATATATATTTTCAAATCTAATTACAAAATTTTAAATTAAAAAAATGGTTAAAATCAAGTAGGCAAGGCGTGGAAACTACTAGTCTCATTGTTGTAATAATCCCTTAACTTTAACGACCATATTTTTAAGGGTGCAGTTTGCATACGGACACATCCGTAGGTGTAGAGGTAAGGTGCACCTTCAAATTTTATCAAGGTACATAATTTTGATGTAAAATGTTATTAGGATTATCTCAAAATCCATTTTATATATAATTCTAAAATTTTAAATTTTAAAAAGGTTAAAATCAAGTAGATCAATACATATATGAAAATCTTGAAAATGGATGGTGTAGATAATATGTTGTAAAATGCATGAGACTTAAAATATTTTTATTTTTTATAGTCATACATGCATCTTGATGATCAATCGAAAGATTTTTCAACATTAAAAGTACCTTTTTTTCCGGGATTTTTGAAGGGCACTTGTACTTATACATTATAAAGTAGCATCCTTATAGAAACGGTTTCCTATTTTTAAAGCATAAGTGGGAATGCAAGCTCTCTTTTCCCGGACGATGGAGGGGTTTCATTTACTTTGCATTTGTGAGTTGTAAGCAAAACACGTGGGTGTCTTTAAATTATTGGGATGTGTGTGTGTTTTGATGAATGAGCGTTGACCCCGTTTTGCTACCTCCAACCGGTCACACGTGCCTTGCTCTTCACTCCAACCAAAAACATACGCGCCAATTGTTATTTGAGGCACATATCGGTAATCCGGATCGTTCATCCAGTGAAGTGGTTGGACTGGCGGATCACAGGAGAATCCACCAAATCCGGTGTTAAAAATAGTATTCCAAAAATCACTATAAATCATTATCAATAATAGTTATTTAAGTTTTCAAAAAAAAATATGGATAATGGATTTTCATTATTGTACATAAAATAAGTGAAGATTGAGACACCATTTAGTGTCTATTGATATTAATTTGGTACTAATCTTTTTATACTAATTTTGATACAATACTTTTATGAAATTTTTAATTTTCACGAGGAAGAAAATGATTTTTTGCAAATTTTTATGTTAATTATCGTATCCTAAACCAAAAACCTTCAAAACCTTGAGAGAGAAGCTTAAGACACACTTTCGCTTCTATTCTCTCTCTTTAGACTTTAAACAAGTGCAGCTCGACTGCTCTCTATCCGGGTCGTAACGTTGTTGATTCATTTTCCCATTCATGTTCAATTTGAGGTTGGTAAGTAGTTTGTGTTTGTATAAACAGAAGAGAAATACAATGCTTCTTTTCACTTAGCTTCGATCTTTGCCTTTGGGTTGTACCTTAAGAAAATCCGTGCCTAAGTTTAAGTTAAGGTTTTTTTTTTTTTTTAACCACCTCCAAATAGTTAGGATAAGATTTAAATGATGATGATGATGATCTCTTTATTTTTGTAATTTTTCAGTTCAAAAATTGAAAGTCATGAATGCTATTTTCTTAGGAGCATTTTCACTTCGATCAACAAATCGTTGTCCTGGTTAAACCTTAGAGGCTCATGCTCAGTTAATGCAATTAACGGTGTATTGCTTTATCCCATTTGGTGAAGAGTTTGAACTTTACACTACTACCATTAAGTGCTTACACTACTCCCTTAAATTAAGAGCTATCACCGTTGTTAAATGTTTCTCACCACAGTTAAAATGTTGAATTGAATTTTCACAATGACCAACTTCATAGCTTTAATGCTCTTCATTTACTCTTGACGCTAAATTCATTGATTTCTTTTGCACTACGCTTTAGCTGTGAAGCAAATTACATTAATTTGAAGCCCAAAAAACCTAAATTCTAAAACTGAATGACCCTTGGAAAAGGGGCTAATGCTGTAGTAGTCGTAGCACACTCCATATCTCAGTTGCATGTTGTACTTTCTAATCTCATACCTTTTACTACCACTCACTAACTATTTAATAAAACGGGTAGGCGCTTCCGAATTTCTTAGCTCTTTGCTCTAGAATTTGGAAAAGGCACACTTCGTAAAAGGCCGGTAAATTAGGATATGTGTATCAACAAAACCCTTGATGGTATTGGTTACCTTAAGTCCGTTTGATAGCATCAAATATCTTGATATTTTGGGATATTATAAAGGGAAATGATTTTGTGAGACCCTCCCACACCCATATGTATAGGATTCCAAATGATTATCATTAAATCATATGTATAAGATTCCAAATGATTATCATTAAATTTTGCACAGATCTATAGAAAACTCAAATCTTATAGTCATGTGATAATTTTTCTAGAGATCTGTGTCAAATTTAATAATGATCATTTAGAGTCCTACATACAAGGGTGTCGGAGGGTTTCATTGGATCATTACTCTATTCTAAAATCAAATATATTTTGAATAAAAAAATTTCGTGGACCCTTGATAGAGCCAAATCATATATTTTAATCTTCAAATAACTATCAAATATTTGAATTCCCAAAAATTCAATTCGTAGTTGAATTTTGTGCCGTTATGGGGTTCTCCTCTCTCTTCCACTCATCTTCCTCTCTCTCAATGAAGACCCACACCTCTCTCACTCGTCTCACCCTCTCTCAACTCGCTTTACAATCTCTGCGGCCCGTTAGGTTCAGTCTTCATGTTAGTGTTTGTGCCTGAATTATTTATTTATTTATATTCCTGCCTTTTTGCTTGGGATTTTTCCTTTGCTTAACCTGGATTTTGGTTATATTTTTGGGGGCTTCTCTGATGCCCATCAAGACTGTGCTTATGGATGGATTTTTGTGATTGTTAATGGAATAACCAATTGCTGGACTGGTCTTTGCCGTTGCTTAATACGGGGAGAGAGCTTCTAAACAAGTTGACATAGAGAAAGACAAAGAAGAACCCAATCCACACTGACAAGGGATAGAAAGGGATGGATGCAATGAAGAAACCCATTAGTAAGTAGGTCGAGAGAGAGAGAGTGAGTGATATTTAATTTGCTGAAGAATTTGAGAGAGAGATTGATTTAATTTTTTGAATTTATAATGGCTTGCATTTTAAAGAGAGATTTAATTTTATGAATTTGGCCAACACGAGGGTGCTGTGCAGTTACTCTTTCTTCTTTCCCTTTTTTTTTTTGGCAAAATTTTTAAACCAAATTTTCCGCTTGATTTTTAGTGTACTCTTTCTTTCTTCAGTATTTTTTTTGGCAAAATTTTTAAACCAAATTCTCCTTCTTGATTTATTTTTTTGTTTTTTATTTTCTTGTGCAAACTTTTTAAACCAAATTCGCCTGCGTGATTTTTAGTGGTGTTCATCACTGGGTATTTCAAAATTTACTTTCATTCGATTTTGCTCAATCATGATTCATTAATTACTTTAAACTTTAAAATGCAACCTTCTCTACACCAGATAGGTTTATCAGAAATACAATAGACAGTCAAATATATAAAAAAAAAACATATATCAAGATAACATAAAATTCAGATCCTCCACCTCTGTTTTTTTCATTTAACCCTAGCAATAGAACGTGCCACAATGTTTAACTGACCTGTTATTTTCATAGGCAAAAATAAAAGAGTAATGATCTTATTAGAGACCCTTTCACATCCATGTGTGTAGAACCCCAAAAGATCACCATTAAATTTGACATATATATTTAGAAAAGTCAAGTTCCACACTTATGTGATAATTTCTCTAGAGATCTGTATCAAATTTAATAGTGATCTTTTGGGGTTCTATACACATGAGTTGGGGAGGGTCGATCATTACTCAAAATAAAATATGGCTAAAAAATTATTATTAGATATTTATAGTTTTATTTTTTGTTTAAATTCTTGTGCTCTCGTGACAATGCTTACCATGTCAAAAATATTTTCCTTTTTTTTATTTCCCTCCTTGTCATTTCATTTTTAACTATAATTTCTTTCTTTGTTCTATTTCTTTTTATTGTATCATTCATACGTGAGCAAGCTTTCTATGCTTCCCCTACAGCATAGAAGTTCTATCCTCCCTCTTTTTCAAACGCATATTTTGAATGGAGGGCTAAGATTTCCCTAATCACAATGTCACGTCTCTAAACTATTTTACTTTTATTTTTATTTCTATAAACTATTTTGAAACCAAATTTTGGACGTCCATTCCTCTATTAAGCTCGCACTAGAAAAAAATATAAAAAAAATATTTTTAATAAAATAAAATGATCAAAATACCCTTGAAAGTTTTAAGGGGTATTTTGATCATTATATTTTATCGAAAAAATATTTTTAATATTTTTATAGGTGTGCCCCAATGAGAAGATGACACCTACCAAATTAATAATCATAAAATTTGTATAAAAAAAACTAAAAATAAAATACTTTAAAACATCGGATCTAAAATCAAACGGTAAGTGGTTGTCTTGAACAAAATTGAACCGCTTTATAGTAGGGGAGAATAAAACTTCTATGTTGTAGAAAAAGCATATAAACTTTTCCCTCCATACGTTACCTATAATCTGTTTCCTTACTACGTTGCTCTTACTTCCTTTCCAGGAAATGAAAGTCGAGTCGTAGTTCCTTTCCAGGAAATGAAATTCGAGTCTTTATTTTATCATATTTGATACTTAGACCACAAGGGCATTAGGTCAGATGGGAAGTTATATTCCTATTGATCAATAATTTCAAGTGAGTCTGTTTCCGGGGATTAATACTTGAAAATTGCAATTTATTTGATAAAGAAGGAATGGCAAAAGGAAAGGTGCAATTGCTTCAACCTCTATTGCTTTGAATTGAAAGCACGAAGCTGACTTCCACAGGAAAAAGGCCGATTCCTTTTGCCAAAATATTTTAATCAGAGTAAAGGGCATGGCATTGCCTTCAAAATTTCAGCTCACAGAGTAGAGGATTTATATGTATAATTTCCTTCACTGTCCTCTTCATAGCTTGCGTTTCTTCTCATTCTTTATGGGAGTAAGCGTGGCGAACTCACATCCTTTAAAGGTCTACTTTTCTTATTGCAATAACTTGTTAAATTCCTCCTCTATACATAAATAATTTTTCGTTAAAATAAATTATAGAATAAGCACGATTATTTTGGTACAACCGAGAATTATGTACAACATTGGATAGCCAAGAATGTACTTCAAAAACGTTTTCATGTTAATTAAATCATATCTATCAAGTTTTTTATTAAACAGCTAAGAGTGTTTATGACCTTTACATACAATCGGTATCAAGTCTCATTATATACAATCTATTTTTTTATACCTTTTTTATTTTTTTATTGGCCAGTGTACTCTTGGGCATCTATGAGGTCACCGTCCCTGACCAAATGTAGTGATGGCACATTTAAGTTTGGAGTTAAAATGAATAGCCAACATATTGCTTTTTGCTTTAAGCTCAACAGTAGCTTATCCAACAATAAATGAATAAAATGCACAAAAAAGGGTGGATGCAAACCTTTGCAACAGCAAAGATCATCATTTTGCAATATATATATATATATATATATATTAGGGGGTAGGGAACATGGTGAAAGAGCTCAGAACTATTTATGATGAGGAATGACAAGAAGAAGCTTGAGCCAGCTTCCTAAGGTTGTCAATGATTATGACCAACCTGGTGCTCAGCTTATTATTCACAAAGAATTTGGGTAGCCATCCTGCAGGGTCCAACTGAAAAACACAGACCTTGCTCAATAACAAATAAATGAGAGAGAGAGAGAGAGAGATTGTTTTACCTGGACAACGTAGGTGACCCTGCAAGAGTCATCCTGTAGCTTCTCGACCACCCACCCTGACTGAAGCAACAGCCCTCTAATGGAGTTGTTCCTCTCCGGTTGCAATCCAGCTGCGATTTCCTTTGGTAAGGAAGCGACCGCGACCACCTGCTAATCCTAAATTCTGTTTAGTTCTTACATTAATCGACATATATACAAGAAAGAGGATGTGAGAGCATTAAGAAGTCCTCCCCCTCTAGTAAAGAATGTATTGTAGTGGATATATCTAAAGAGAGAGAGTACTCACCAAACCTCTCTCTCTCCTCTCTGGCGTACACACACACAACAAATAAAGTAATATCATTTCTATTGCTACACGAGTTTGCTAGGAAACAACAACATAAAGAAGAAGCCAAGAGGTTGGTGAAGAAAACAGAAACTAATAGAGAGGACTGGTTGTGCACACCAGAGTTCCATCGTCCATGGTTTCGCGCCTCTCATAAACGATGAATTCTCGATTCTTAAAAAGCCTTTTTGAGGCATCCCCAAACCTGAGCCTTATGATACTGAGGTTCTCATTCAAATCCTTTATGTACTTGGCTTCCACCAGATGTGAGTCCCATTGCTACAGGCAAAACAAACCAGTCATGACAATCTTATCAGACCTGTCCAATGCCATGGAAATGCCTCTCTCTCTCTCTCTCTCTGACCTCACCTTTGCGGCATCGATGGCATTGGCAACAGTCATGAATTGCTCAGGGGAGATAGATGTGAGCAACCAACGGCTGCGAAAAACAGAGAGAGAACCCGAATGACGCTTTGTTGAAATCTCGACCCCTCCATTCAAAGACACCACCTTCCACCCATCATCCATTTTCAAATCTGAAGCCGCAGAGAGCAATTCTTGAACACAGGTCTCGCTTGCAAAGTACACGTAGCGCCTCAACGATTCCTCGCTGATTGACCTCCATCAAACCAAACAAACAACTCTTTCACTTATTAACAAACAGATATAGAAAACAAGAAGATAGACAAATTCGAACTAGACAGTTGGGTATAGGATGGATTACCAGCACCGATAGGATTGGGGGGGACTCATCTTTGTAATGGTGAAGGTGGCAAGAGTGGAGTTACTTGTAAGTTGAGAGAGAGAGAGAGAGAGAGAGAGAGAGAGTACAAGTAAGTATTTTAGTTAGAGAGGGAGGGGTAGGGGTAGGAGGGAGTGGACGTACGTCGTACCGTACCTACAACTCAGTCGACGTAGTAACGTACGACGACGACAACGACGACTAGTGGTCGACGACG